GCGGCTTTAAAAAGGTTAAGCTAGTTTCCGATATATGTACGTAACAGCTCAGACATGTTCACAAGGGACAACAATTAGGGTAGACTAAATTAATCTTGGCCAGGGAGACTTGGACATCATACAAATCGACTAATCCTCCCAAAGAGCATTATGTTCAACTTTTTTTATGTTTGGATTAATATCTCTGTCATCAGTCCCTGATATATTTTCTCAGCAAAATTTGTTCCAGTTACGTTTCGCTTGTGGGTTGCTTTTAAGTGAAATTTTTCGATATTCGCGATTCAAAACCGGTTATTAGATAGCTTCTCCTTTTCTCGGTTCTATGCCTCGGCCAGTAATTTCACTTCGTATTCGTTTTTACATTTCTTTGCTTCAACTCTGATTACTTTCTTGTATCTTTTTGTTATAGATAAATGTTTGAACTAGTTTAACCCTTATTTACCTTCGGCCCACTTTTGGTACAAATGCTGGTTAGATAAGGTCGACTATTAACTGTTTTAACTAGTTTAACTTTCATTAATCTTGACCAGTACTTTTAATGGCACAAATGCATTGCGAGAACGAGTGAATTAACAAAAACAAATTATTAAAATGAAGGATAACAATGTTAAAAATGTTAAACGGTGGGAAACAGAGCAGGTGGCTATTCAAAGCGTGGTCGAGGAGTCGAACTCGGCCAACAACAGTGGAACAATTCTCTTTCTTTTGTGATGCGTGACGACTGCTTGGCATCATTAACATAAAGTACGCATGTATCCCAAGTGTTGCTAATAAACATCATAAAAACATGGCCGCCAAAGCAACGCATGTAAGCCATCTTGTGGAAAATATACTTACGTACTATACACAGAAGAAAACGACACAACGCAATATCTGCATGAGTGGTGCTTTCAACGTGCCATGAAAGAACACAGGCGCTGGAATTGGTTTGGAATCGTGCGAGAGGCTCTCGAAGTAAGTCGAATCAGCTGAATACTTTCAGGTGCGGAGTTGGTGATGTAACGAACACATTTCCTATCTAGGTATCTGCTTGTGAAGGATGGGCTGTGGAAATGGCAAACATGTTTTCGCTATCGACCATCGACCGAACACAGTTACGCGTATTGAGATGACAGGCCACCGTCAGCTCATCGCAAACGCCGAGGATTTGGACGAAGACTCGCTACTCGATTCGGAAATAGACCTTTCATCTTCGGAAAAGCTACAAGAATATACACATCAGTATCCAGAATTTTCAAGGGAGCTTAACGTGTTGTATTGTAGCATCGAAAAGCTTCGGCGATTATCGGAAAAAGAGACTGCTTTCAGTGATAAAGATTTGTTATCAAAGATAAACAAAGAAGTCCTCAAACTTCGCAAAAGAAGCATAAAAGCTGCTTTCTCACCCGGAACGTCTGAAGATCAAAAGTATAGCTTAATTGCAAATTTCATCTTGGACATAGAGGGAGCAGCTTTATTCTCTATGCTTGCTAAACAGTTGTTTGATTCGTACATCGAATTTGTAAAAATCCACCGTAGGAATGAGGTCCAATCGAGAAATCCATCGGTTATTGAAACAGACAGGATGGATCATCTAACGTCGGAAACCCTTATTCTTGTTCTGCTTGTGATACAAAACTTTGCGGAGTTTCATAAACAGTTTTGCGTAGCATGTGCAAAGACAACTGAGGTTGTTTCGCTTTGCCTGATGCAAAGTAGGCAAGTTGAAGATGTGTTCACGACCACGCAGGCTGAGGGGAGCGGAAGGCCAGTACGAGCTATTCGAATACTGGGATGTTGCTTCAACATTCTGTATAACTTGGCCAGAAAAACTGACTTGGTCAAAGCCAACGTAGACTTTGAAGGGAAAGAAACTTTAGTTTATTTCGCAAAATCCGATATCGCCATCGTTTCCCCTCTTGCTCTTCTCAGTTTGGCTTACGTCGTGGACGAGGAGAGCAATCATCTTATTCTTGCTGCTGAAGAAATTTTAGGAGCTTTAACGTCACTTTTGCAAAAGGCCTTTGAGTCTGAGCATAGAAAATTTGATGGGTTCTCGGCAAAAGAACTCGCTGAAGGACTCAGTCGCCTCGCGATAAATGATACCAACAAAAGAGTTCTGGGCGAGAAGGGTGCCATACAAGTCCTAGTTTCTATAATCAAAACTTCAAACGACAATAGTGAGAAAGCTAGTGCAGTCAATGCGCTTTGGGTGTTAGCTTTCGACGAGAACAATAAGAAAGCCATCACTCAAGACAAAGAAACCTTAGATATTCTTCGAAGACTTCAGCAGAGTGACGACCCAGAAGTACAGAAAGCAGCTGCAGGTGCATTATGGGAGCTCGAAGGAAAGACGGCGAGGAACTCGGAGATGACAAAAGCAACCGGAAATCACGTGATGATCAGCTACCAGTGGGATTCCCAGGAAGTTCTGGTTGAAGTGAAAAACAGGCTTCAAGCAAGTGGATACAGAGTGTGGATGGATCTGGAGCAGATGGGAGGATCGACCTTAGAGGCAATGGCTAAAGCTGTTGAAAATGCTTCCGTTGTTCTTGTCTGTGTATCACACCAATACAAGGAGAGTCCGAACTGTCGTTCAGAGGCAGAGTACGCTTATCAGCTGAGAAAAGATATTATTCCTCTGATGATGCAACAAAACTATAAGCCGGACGGTTGGCTGGGAATGATCGTGGGGACAAAACTTTGGATCGACCTCAGAAACAGTTTTAATGTGGAGGCAGCAATTGGAAAACTCAAGAAAGAATTGGGCGACAGAGGACGAGAGAATCAAGGAAATTACCTCACTGTTGAGCACGAGAAACCCGTTGAAAAGGGGCAAGAACTTACCCCAGAATTGTCTGGGGTAGCGGACTGGACAGCAAACGAGGTAAAAGACTGGTTGAAGGACATTGGTTTAGACGACATTTGCAAGGCTGTCTTGCCAAAATTGAACGGACAGGCGTTAATTTATCTCTATGCACTCCGTGATGAATGTCCAGATTATTTTTACCGATGTCTAGAAACAAATCTTAACTTGCGGGACATGTTTGATTTGTTTAAATTTAGAGAAGAGCTTAGTAAGTTAATGAAAGGATGAAGTAGATGAAGCAATGTGGCAACGGAGCTCGAACCGAGTTTCAAATTCTGATTTTTGACGACACGGTCTGCCATGAACTTTCAAAGGAGTATAAACCAGGAAAATACAAGGAATGATGTTGTAAACTGAAAAAAATGAATAAATAAACAGCCATTGAAGTTTTCCACAGATTTTGGTCGTCAGTTCTCCGGATTTCAAATAAGCTTTAACATTTTTCTCTCTTAACTTTACTCCATTAGCAATAGTTGCCTTAGTACCTAATTCGCGGCTTCGCCGCTCGTGCGCCTCGGCTCGACAAAACCGCCATGCTACGCAGGCTATACGAGTCTTCAGCGGACAACTCGCCCCAAGACAGTCTTAGATTCTGGATTCAACGCTGTGGATTCCGGATTCTTTGCCAGAGGAACTTGGATTCCGGATTCCACCAGCTAAAATGTCTCTTATTCCGAAATCCGGATTCCCTTACCTGGGGCGAGACAACTCAGTACTGAAGTCAGCATTGCGATCAAGGATGACTGACAGAAGTAGTCTGAGAAGAGCAGCCGTGTCAGCTCCTCGCTCCTCGCCAGTATATTAGGGACGGGCAAAACGATGCTAGCGACGAGGAGCGAGGGGAGACGGCTGTTTTCGCAGGCTGTGACAGAAGGCATATGAAATGTCAGCAAGTCCACCGCAACAAACCAATCAGTGGTGCCGGGTTGTTCAAAGCTGGGTTAAGATAACTCAGTGTTAGTTCGAAATTTGAATTCAGACATGAAAGCTTGAAAAGCAAATTCAGTTTAATTCTTTTTGTCAACAATTTGATGATTGGCTACTAGAAAACGAATAGAGAAAATTGTCCGAGGAAATGCTTTTGATGAAAGGAAAAAGGGACCCGGGTTAAAGTTTAACCCTCGGTTAGCGCTAATCGGCCTTCGAACAACTGGACCCTGGATCAGTACAATTAAAATTGTAGAAAAATATGAAACGGCAAACTGATCCTTACGACAAGGCGATGAAGAAGTACACAAAAGAATAAAACAAAAAATATATATATTTAAACAAACTGCCCAATATTTCGGTTTGAAAACAAAGCTTCTTCAGGGGCTAAACGGAAAAATGAAAATAAAACTAAAAGTTCGTTACAAATAAGAATTTGAAAATGTGACAATAAAACCAATCGATTGTTATTGGTATAGTAGAGTAGGTGCATTCAGTGAGCTTCGTCACAGAAGATACCAGCCCCATTGCCTTGGAGGAATAAATAAAATATTAATTATACGAATTTTACAAAAAAGAAAAAAAAAGCATGAGAACATAAAATGCAAAAGAAGTAGGATCTTGGGCCCGGTTGTTCGAAGCTGGATTAAGATCAGTGGCGGATCTAGGAGAGGGCCCCCCGCCCCCTTAGTTTTAGACCAAACTGAGGTCCGAAGGGCCGAAAAAGGTTTTTTTGGAGACCGTTCCACCTCCCCGCCCCACCCTATCTCAGGGTCTGGATGACAGGGACTCCCTTATCTGAAGGTCTGGATGGGCCACTGAATAAACCCCCCGGGTTAGTGTGAAATTTGAACTCAGATATGAGAGCTCATAAAAGCAAATTCTTTGCCCACAATTTGATGACTGGATACTCTAAAAAGAATGGAGAAAATTATCCGAGAGAGTGCTTTCGATAAAAAGAAAAAGAAACCCGGTTTACAATTTAACTCCGGGTTAGCGCTAACCGGCGTTCGAACAACTGGGCCCTGGATGTTTCGTTGATAAAAAGTGGCGCTAAAATATAATTATAGCGTGACATCATCAAGTAAGTTGTTGCTAGACGGTTGATTCGGTATCGTGACTTGCGACGGGAGTTTTGTTTAATAGTCACGTGGGCGACGGTTTATCACGCTACCCGACGTAATATTCTAAATACACACTTACTTTACATAAATTAAGATTCAGTACAAAGAACTAGCAAAGTCAGTCGCAAGCAAGTTGAGCGTGCAAGAATATACCTCAAGTTATTGTCAGTAAGGTAAGAATGATCAAGGTAGTTTCAATAACTAGAATATTCTTTTTGAGATATGGTTTCTTAGATTATAATTGAGCTCCAAATGGGTAGGTAACGGATTGCAGAGTAACAGTGGCTTGAATACTGTAAAGCGGTAGTGTGATCGAGGGATAAGACTCATGAAGACAGCCTCAGTCCTTCGTGTTTAAAAGGTCCACAGTACAAAGAGAAGCCCGCAAAAAGATTTTTCTATTTATCTTAGCTGAGTGAATTGTTCAGATATTTAAGTAGACTGTAGTCTGTTTAATTAAAGTAAAAGCAGGCGTAAGTTTCGCCGATCTGCTACTCTACAATGATGACCCTAGCAACTAACAGCAGCACAGAACAGAGCTGTCGAGACTGTCACAGTGACTCTTGTTTATGAAACAAACTTTATATTGGTTTAAACACTTCATGTACTTGAGAAGCAGTAAATGCACCCTTCTCTGTGGTGGTAGATTGACTCGGCTCAATTTTGGAGCGCATACCATACGCATATCATCTTCTTACGAACACCGAAAACGAAACCGGAACTCTAAAATTAAAAGGGTTATTCCCTAGAATTCAAGTGCAAATTTAATTACATATGAAATGTATAAGTATAGGGTCGCCAGTTTACTCTGTCTAGAAAGTTCTCATTGTTGAAAATTGCTTTTTAGTAATAGAGGAAACTTGTTGAACCAGAACTTGACCCGCAGACTTGATAATTAAGATATGTTCCGTTTGGGTTCATTTGCTTCAGTAGATTCCCGCTGTATAGTACTTTCAGTTTCGACACAAAAATCATCCATGTAATCATTTCCACTTTCTTTATAATCCTGGAGTGCCTATATCTTGTCTTTCACGAAGCGTTTTTTGGTGACTAATTAACCATGTAGAATAAACAAGCTGCATACACGAAGGAAATTCTTAAACTGCAAACTCAACTTTCCTTTTCCTAGGATTTTGCCCATTTCGAAACATAGAAGCTCCCATAGCCACTTAAAAAGTTTTATTTTCCCTCCATTTTCAAACGTGAATTTGTTGTATTTGTTTTCCGGCAGTGATCGAATGAAAACAACGTTCTGAAAAGGTTGCCGAAATTTCAGAAATTTGCATAGACATTAATGCATCAGTGGTTCCCGTAATGATGTCGTTACACCTTTGTTATTTTGATAAACAACTTTTTAAAGATTGCTCTATATTGCCACGTCATCATACTCTGAAGATAAATAAATGAAGACATCAGTTGGCTGGTAGAATTTTTCAAAAAACAACACACGACGATAATAAATTTCGCATCACGTTCGCGATTTTCTCTATTCCTATCATGATTGTTGTAACGCGATTTCTTCTCACAGTCTTGATTGTTGTATCGCGAATCTAGTTATCGAGATTTCTCTATCCCGATAGCGATCGCTGTATCGCGATGTTTCTATCGTGACCGTGACTGTTGTATTGTAATGTCTCTATTCCGATCGCGATTGTTCTATCGCGAATTCTGTATCACGATCGTGATTGTTGTTTCGCGGTCTTTCAATCACGGTCGCTGTATCGCGATTCCTCCATCACGAAAACGATCGCTGTATCACTATTTCTATATTACGTTTGTAATTATTGTATCGAAATTTCTCTCCCCTGATTTGGCCTCGCTTTTAAACATATGAGATCCTTCAAAAAAAGTTAGGTAAAACTACGAGTTTTATGGATTCACGAAACTGAATCCTAATTATCCTTGCAAGCTGCGCCTTTGTCTTTTACGAAAAAGAAAACATTCAATAACCTGATTGCTTTGAAGGAGTGATAACAGGACTCTTGTTCCGCAAATGTACCTCCCAGACGCTAGGTGACAAACACCTTGGTGATCTCCAACATTTTTTTCTTTTCTCCCTTGTTTTAGGTTTTGAGCGCCACTCGTCATGAATACCATTGCGTTCAAAGCATCTTTTCTCCTGGTTCTCTTGTCTCTCTTGCAATCTATTTTCGCCCAGGATCCTATCAGCTCGTGCGATGGAATCTCGAACGGGACCCGCTCTCAAATCTGTCTGTCGGGAAAGTGCCCACTACGATGCTACACAAATTCCTCGAACGATCCGAACTGCGATCAAGTGTGTGTGGTGCAGCCATGTGCTGCGCTAAGCTGCAATTCGACCAATTGCCTGCAGCGCTGTTTATCAGGGGGGTGTAACTCGCTGGTATGTACAGGCGCTGATTGCACGCAAACCTGCTTGGGAAACTGTTCTGAAATAAACTGCACAGTGACGGAAAAGTGCAACCAACAGTGCGAGAAGGGGCACTGCGGCTTACGTGGCATGGGTTATGGTGTGGTGGAGCAGACCTGCGCTGAGAACTGCAAAGATGTGAAATGTAAGGCTGACAGGTGCAGACAAACCTGTGTAGGAGACGGGTGCAGTTTGGAGTGTCCTATGGGTAAGTGAAGTAATATTCATGATCCTCGGAATAACCAGAGGCAGATCTTAAGTGGGAGTGTCCTTTGATACTCGTGAAACCCTTGCTTATACTTCAACCTCACCAGGAGCTACTTTAATGTGCTACTGCCCTAAGCCCTAATTCTGACCTTGTATCTGAGGTGATCCCCTCCCCGCCGCCCCTCACCCAATCGAATTCCTCAATCCGCACCGGAATGAAATGTTGAAATAAAACCGTAATGATCACATGTATCTGTTACAGGTTCTAGAGAGTGCACACAAGATTGCAAAGGTCCCTGCAACATGAAATGTGAAGCTTCCGAGTGCGAAAGCACATGTACCGGTGGTAGATGCAACTTAGAATGTGGCAACAGCGAATCAAACCTCTGCGAGCAAACCTGTGCTCGTGGCGCCTGCGAAGTCAAGTGCACAGCGAAGATATGTGAAAGCTCATGCATGGGAGGTCATTGCGCCACGTTCACTTGTACCGCTGATGACTGTACCCAGATTTGCGGTCAAAACTGTACCAACATGAGGTGCCAATCAAAGCAGTGTGACCAGTCGTGCACCAAAGGGAACTGTAATATGTACTGTGAGACCGGAGCAGAGATGTGTGTGATGTCATGTCCCAGAGGAAACTGTACACTGCACTGCGACGGACAGTGGTGTAAACGTGACTGCACTGGAGATGGATGCTCGTATACCGGATCGGGCAAAGAAGTTCGCCCCAGTACCCCATCACCAAGCACGCCAAACACGCTAAAACCACCCAAGGCTGGCGCGCAGAGGGTCGTGTCCTTGCATTTTACGTTATTCCTGCCTGCGATAGTATATCTCATTTCCTGTAATCTAATAATTTAACAGAACTGGCAAGTGACGGCGTAATTTGTAGATTAAAGTAGTACATCGAAAGGCCACCAGTCATATTTATGCATGGCGGTACATGGCTAGCAAATATGTCACGCAAACCATTATGGCACACGGACAGTAAGGGTATAAAAAGAAGTAAGGACCACGAAAAAGGTTACTGCGCACTGTTTAATGTCATTGCCTTTATCCAGTAGAGTAAACGATAAAGAAACAAACACTTGTCTCCAGAACTCTTCCTTGTTAGATAAAAGTCTTAGGAACGACGTTGATAAGGAAGTTTGTTGCCGTTACAAAGTGGTTTCTCTTGTTTTATAGTAATGACGCTGCTGTTTACTGGGCATAATGACGAGTGAATAGCTTCCAAGGCCAGATGAGAGAGCTTGATCACAGGCTAACTGACATATCGAATGGGTGTTCAAGGACGTCAAGAACAAAATTTTTCTGCTTTGTGTGTTCACTTTTTGTCAAGTTTAACACGAGGCGCTATGGAGTCTTTAGCTCCTGGTAGGTACCAGCCCCCCCCACCAGCCTCGTTTACTTTAGGGGAAGGGGGGTGGGCGACTGTTTATCACGCCACCCAACCTAAGATTCTAAATAGTACACACTTAATTAACATAAATTAAGATTCAGTACAAGGAACTAGCAAAGTAAGTCGCAAGCAAGTTAAGCGTGCAAGAATAGAGTCAAAATTGCAAATTTATCTCGCAATTCCCAGAAGAGACTTAGGCACTAAGAAAACCATACCAAATATAAAAAAAATGACCAGAAAGCCTCGGAATCAGATTAGAATTTTCCCCAAGAATTTTCGTTTTCCTAACCCATTATTTACGAACCTTAGGTTCTTTGTGCAAAGTAGGCCAACATGCTTCACGATGTCGTAAAATTTTTAAACTTTGCTATTTAAAAAATTGAACCTTTGTGCCCTTTACGCTGTTTACTCTGCAAGCAGAGGCCCTTCGATCTTCAGGGAAAAGTAGGGCAGAAGAGAAAGGTAGGTCCCTTTGCTCGCAGGGTATTTGTTCTTAGAATAGAAACACAAACCTGTTGCAAGGACCTGATTCTGGAGCTGATTTGTACGGTAACATAGGTAGGTAATATATCAAGCATGAGACGCAGTGTTTCATCACCAGTTGAAACTCCGAGAAGACAGCTGAAAATACGACGCGCAGCGGAGTATTTTTGACGAACTTCGAGGTGTTTCATCTGGTGATGAAACACTGTGTCAAATGTTTGATATTACTTCTCAAACAAAATGATTCTAGAAGGAGAAATTAAGGATGCAAAAATGAGCAGTTTTTCATCTGATTTCCAAACACTAATGAAACATTAATTTCCTTAATGAATTATTAATGAATTTGAGAAGTTCAGATAAATTATGTTGGCATAATTTGGGGCATAATGCTTTAGTCAGTCAGCATCGAGCATAATGTCGGCATAATGGGCATTTTGTCAGCATAAAGAGAATAATAATAAAGCTAATATTTCCATAACAGTACTGAGAAGTTTTTGCGTTTTATTAAGGATTTAACATATTCAAGGGCTTGGTTGCTACCTTCAAGGACTGGTTGCGCTTTTGCATCATTTTGCAGGCTGCTATAAATTTACAAAAAAAAATCCATCAAAGCCTATTAAAAAGCCCCAGACCCATCCAAAAATATATTCGATTATGAGCCCCCCCGGATATCAACCCCCTTTAAATGTATTGGAATGAATTCGATTTATTATGACGTTTTGAAGCTTGATTAAAAACCAGTAAATGCAAAAGGTATTTCGATCATGATTGCCACTTATAAATCCCTTTGTTTATAAGCTCTCGATCCCTTACAAGCCCAGGGCTTTTACCCTTCTTTTTATATCCTCTGTTTTCATGACCTCTCTGAAAATCACCCTGGTGAGAGAGTCTCCTGGTTAAAAACTATTATTATTATTATCATATAATTTTTTTTTCATCGAAATGAATTACATGAGCTCATGAATAAAATGACTTGTAAATATTTTTATTACTATCATTATTATTATTATTATTATTGTTATTATATTTATTATTATTATTATTATTAACTTTAGGACAGACGTCAAAAAAGGTGTCAATGAGCAGTAAAAATAAAGATACCTCAACAAAATTTTTCAGTGAATAAACAGCTTACTTCAATCATTCCTTTCGTCTCCCTTTCTTCTGAATAAAAGCGTGTGCACGCATTCAGACACCATCAGCAGTAACAATATGTAAACCCGACGGAAACGCGAGTATATATATAAGGGATGCTTTTAAGCGTATCCGCAGAAACTGAAACATGACGTATACACGTGTTTCCCGCAACGGTTAGTTACAATTCCACCTGCGAATATTCAGGTTTCCGTGAGGTAACCGTTACAAAAACGGAAACGGAAACACCTTTTTTCAACCTGTGTAACCTGTTTTTCAGTTGTTTTTCTCTGGCCTGTTTGACTGAATCGCGTTCAACTGGGTATGGTTTGAAAGATCTCGGCCCCCTTCCACAAGTTACATCTCAAAGTTGTCTGTGACCGTTAAAATTTGCTGACACGGAAGTGGTTCTGTGAGCGTCGTGGTTGCTGAAGCTCCCTAAACTCTACCCTTCAACGTAATAGTGTTAAAATGGATTAAGTGAAGGTTTGTTTTGCTCTTTTGAGTCTTGTACGTGACGTCTCAACCCAACTTCCAAACGTTTGTGTCCCGGCTATTTACAAATATTACATCTGAAATAAACGCACTTTCAGTGCGAATTTTGATTTAAACCCTCGTCACGGAGAGTTTAGGCTTACTTAGATAACTGAGAAATAACATAGTAGCATTTTCAGCGAGGCAAGAAGAATTCGTGATGGACGATTTAGGCTGGTCAAACGAGGCCAACAATCAAAGCGCAGTAGACGATGGAGAATGTGCAAGACCGTGACTTCCTTGGTGCTGAAAAGCGGTCATTGGTCAACTTAACTCCGACAGACGAGTTGCTATTTGTGCTCCAACAGGTGAGGAAGACAGAACCATTCGTTGAACTACAAGAGGCAATATTTAATCTCCACTGGAAAAAACGGGTACGAAAATGATGACATGTTAATTTACTATATTCTGCCAAAACAACCCAGGCTGAAGACGTAGAAACCTATCTGAACAAGGATAGCTAAGGATCTTGGATCCTCTATCCAAATCAACGAAAGTTCCATTGACAAAGCGCGCTGTCTCTTTCCAATACTCAGGTGTAACACTCAGTAAAGATCTGTCCTGGGGTAATCACATTAAAAATATTTCATGAGCAAGACAAACCGGCGACTTGGACTTCTTCGAAAAATCAAACATTTTGTACCATTACACACGCACTTTTTCATCCTCTAATTCTTCCTCTATATGACTACAATAACATCATTTGGGGTGACAAAAACAATACTAAATTAATGAACGATCCTGAGCTAGAAAATTGGAAACTGCGTACCAACGAGTCGTCTCGTACTTGTTTGTTTTTCCTACCCGGCTTTGCTCTTCGGCTGAGACAAACCTTTTTAGCAACAAACATTATTGCGAATCAATGTTTTGTAGTTAACACTGTCTGTCGATAAAGATAACTTTATATGACTCCTACATTTAGCAGCAACGGGACCGCAAAAAGTATGGCCTTGCACTAAGATACTTGACCACTTGCCTGTATTTTGGTTACCGTTATTCCTACGGTTCATAAAATTCAGTGTTCAAGGTCAAATGGGAAACGTAAAAAACAGCAAATTTTTTGCTTTCTCTCTCGTTTCGAAATGCAGCTACAGTCGAACCGCGTTACCGATAAGGACACTGAGGGGACCATAGACAGTGTCTGTGTTAACGGGGTGACGTATGTTAACTAAGTAAAAAAATACATTTTAAAAAACAATATCAAACAATTAATACTGAACATAGCATTGACAAACTAAACGTCTCTAACTTACAAATGGCCATGACTTCGCGGACAATGTCTAATATTTAGATGTAGCTAAGGCTAAAAGCGCGGCGTCCCTTTATATTCTTTTAATTACTGAAAACCAAAAATTATACTTAGCTGATTTTTTTAAAAAAAGGAGAAAATTATAAATCTAGTTCCTCTAGTATGGTGTGTTAACTTTTTCCTTTTTTTGGGGGGGCAGTTTTCACACTTTATTATGTGCTTGAATAAAAATGCACAATATTAAAAGACCTGAATTATTTAGAGTCCCCTTCTTCTTCCCCCTTCTCGAGGTTAACTGTCGTTTTACAGGGGCACCCAACGGCAATTTTCGGGAAAATATCTGTTCGGAAGACGATTTGAGAACTAGAATTTTCGGAACATTTGTTGTAAAATTTCTTGCTTGCCTGCCTCTCCTAGGATTTTCGAACATCTACAAAATGGTATAATTACCCATTTTAAACGGATATTTACCCTAAAAAAGGCCACCTAGAATTTTCGGGAGCCTTTTCCTGGCTGAAATTTTCGAAAAGGTAAGTTTTGATCCCTATAATTTTCGGATCACTAGACTTTCAGCTAGGAAATCCGAACAGATGAAAAGTTTTTAGGGGATAAAAATATGCCCATATCTACTTTTTAAATACTAAAATACGTTCAACAATGCTATGTTAAGAGGTTTTGAACTATATCCTCGTTGGGTGCCCCTTGTTTTAGGAAACCTTTGAGTCTCTAGATTATTGATACATGGTAAGGCAGTAAAATAAGGGCGTTTTAAAGTTTTAAAAATAAAGTCTCGAGGATAAACTCAGATAAATGTATCATTAATGTTGTGAGTAGCATGTGAGGATTAAAAACGACTAAATCATCGTTATCTTGGGACGTTCTCAAAAAAGACAAGGAAGAAATGAAAGACTCTTTCAGACAGAGCTAACAATGATCGTTGACAAATCATCGCCAACAGCTCCTTGCTCTGCAAGTGGAATTTATCACTACAATCACAAAAAACCCCAATATCAATGACTTTAATGGCGTAGAAAAACGGTTTTAAAGATGGATACCAAAGCCGTTTGTACATGGTATAACGAGTCTTACACAAGTCTTTAGAGAATACGCTAAGCGATTCACAAGCCTTTCTTACACAAACCATCAGTAATGACTCTTATACAAGCCTTCGGTAAGAATCTCAAATAAGCCTTTTGTAGCAAGCCTTGTGTAAAGACTCGCACACGAGCCTTCTAGGTAGGTAGGTAAGGTAGTTTCAATAACTAGAATGTTATTTTTGAGATATGGTTTCCTAGAATATAATTGAGCTCCAAACGGGTAGGTACGTAACGGATTACAGAGTAACAGTGGCTTAAATACCGTAAGCAGTAGTGTAATCGAGTGATAAGACTCATGAATACAGCCTCAGTCTTTCGCGTTTAAAAGGTTCACAGTACAAAGAGAACCCCGCAAAAAGATTTTTCTATATACCTTAGCTGAGTGAATTGTTCAGAAATTTGAGTAGATTGTAGTCCGTTTAATTGAAGTAAAAGCAGGCGGAAGTTTCGCCGATCTGCTACTCTACAATGACCCAAGCAACTAACAGCAGCACAGAACAGAGCTGTCCAGACCGTCACAGTGACTCTTGTTTGTGAAACAAACTTTATATTGGATCAAACACTTCAGGTACTTGAGAAGCAGTAAATGCACCCTTCTCTGTGGTGGTAGATGGACTCGGCTCAATTTTGGAGCGCATACCATACGCATATCATCTTCTTAAGAACACCGAAAACGAAACCGGAACACTAGAATTAAAAGGGTTATTCCCTACAAATCAAGTGCAAGTTAATTATATATGAAATGTATTAGTATAGGGTCGCCAGTTTACTCTGTCTAGAAAGTTCTCATTGCTGAAAATTCTAAATGCTTTTTAGTAATAGAGGAAACTTTTTGAACCAGAACTTGACCGGCAGACTTGATAATTAAGATATGTTCCGTTTGGTTTCATCCGCTCCAGTAGATTCCCACTCAATATTGTACTTTCAGTTTCAATACAAAAATCATCTATGTAATCATTTGGATGACTTATTTGAGCATTTCCACTTTCTTGATAATCTCGGAGTGCCTATATATTGTCTTTCAGGAAGCGTTTTTTTGATGTCTATAAATAAGCGAGCCATAAGCCATCATGTAGAATAAACTGCATACACGAAGGACATTCTTAAACTGCAAACTCAACCTTCCTTTTCTTAGGATTTTGCCCATTTCGAAACAAAGAAGCTCCCATAGCCACTTGAAAAGTTTTATTTTCTCTCCATTTTCAAAAGTGAGTTTGCTGCATTTATTTTCCGTTCTGAAAATAATGTTGTCGAAATTTGCATAACCATGAATGCATCAGTGGCTCCCGTAATGATGTCGTTGCACCTTTGGCATTTTGATAAACAACTTTTTAAAGATTGCTCTATATTGCCGCGTCATCATACTCTGCTGATAAACAAATCAAGAGAGCAGTATTTTTCAAAAATAACGCGCGGCGATTATAAATTTCGCATCACGATCGCGATTTTCTCTATTCCTGCCACGATTTCTGTAACGCGATTTCTTCTCACAATCTTGATTGTTGTATCGCGAATCTATTTATCGCTGTTTCTCTATCCCGATCGCGATCGTTGTATTGCGATGTTACTATCGTTACCGCGATTGTTGTATTGTAATATAATATCTCTATCCAGATCGCGATTGTTGTATCGCAGTTTCTGTATCACGATCGTGCCGATTGCTGTTTCGCGATCATTCAGTCGCGGTCGTTGTATCACGATTCCTCCATCACACGATCACAATTGCTGTATTTATCACGATTGTAATTATTGTATCGAAATTTCGCTTTTAAACATATGAGATCCTCCAAAAAACGTTAGGTAAAAGTACGAGTTTTATGGATTCTCGAAATTGAATCCTAATTATCCTTGGAAGCTGCGCCTTTGTCTCTTAGGAAGAAAAAAATGCAATAATCTGATTGCTTTGAAGGATTGATAACAGGACTCTTGTTCCGCAAATGTACCTCCCAGAAGCTAAGTGACAAACAACTTGGTGATCTCCAACGTTTTTTTTTTCTTTTCTTCCTTCTTTTAGGTTTTGAGCGCCACTCGTCGTGAATACCATTGTGTTCAAAACATCTTTCCTCCTGGTTCTTTTATCTCTCTTGCAATCTGTTTTTGCCCAGGATTTTATCAACTCGTGCGATGGAATCTTGAACGGAACCCGCTCTCAAATCTGTCTGTCGGGACAGTGCCCACTACGATGCTACACAAATCCTTCAAACGATCAGAGCTGCGATCAAGTGTGTGTGGTGCAGCCATGTGCTGCTCTAAGCTGCAATTCGACCAATTGCCTGCAGCGCTGTTTATCAGGGGGGTGTAACTCGCTGGTATGTACAGGCGCTGATTGCACGCAAACCTGCTTGGGAAACTGTTCTGAAATAAACTGCACAGTGACGGCAAAGTGCAACCAGCAGTGCGAGAAGGGGCACTGCGGCTTACGTGGCATGGGTTATGGTGTGGTGGAGCAGACCTGCGCTGAGAACTGCAAAGATGTGAAATGTAAGGCTGACAGGTGCAGACAAACCTGTGCAGGAAACGGGTGCAGTTTGGAGTGTCCTATGGGTAAGTGAAGTAATATTCATGGTCCTCGGAATAACCAGAGACAGATCTTAAGTGGGGGTGTCCTTTGATATCCGTGAAACCCTCGCTTATTCTTAAACCTAACTAGGAGCTACTTTAATGTGCTACTGCCCTAACCCTAATTCTGACCTTGTATCTGAGGTGACCCCTCCCCGCCACCCCTTACCCAATCGAATTCCTCGATCCGCACCGGAATGAAATGTTGAAATAAAACCGTAATGATCACATGTATCTGTTACAGGTTCTAGAGAGTGCACACAAGATTGCAAAGGTCCTTGCAACATGAAATGTGAAGCTTCCGAGTGCGAAAGCACATGTACCGGTGGTAGATGCAACTTAGAATGTGGCAACAGCGAATCAAACCTCTGCGAGCAGACCTGTGCTCATGGCACCTGCAACGTCAAGTGCACAGCGAAGAACTGTAAAAGCTCATGCGCGGGTGGTCATTGCGCCACGTTCGATTGTATCGCTGATAACTGTACCCAGAATTGCGGTCAAAACTGTGCCTACATGAGGTGCCAATCAAAGCAGTGTGTCCAGACATGCACCAAAGGGAACTGTGATATGTACTGTGAGACCGGAGCAGAGATGTGCGTGATGTCGTGTCCCGGAGGAAACTGTAAACTGCACTGCGACGGACAGAAGTGTAGACGTGACTGCTCTGGAGGTGGATGTTCGCATTCTGGATCGGGTGAAGAAGTTAGGATCAGTACCGCGCAAAAACCACCCAAGGCTGACGCGCCGAGGGTGGTGTCCTTGCATTTTACGTTATTCCTGCCTGCGATAGTATATCTCATTTCCTGTAAGCTAATAATGTAAGCAAACAGTTGACATTGTTATTCTTCACAGTGTTACACTATAAAGGCGAATTTAGACTGTCAGCTTTAAATAGAACTTACAAGTGAAGGCATAATTTGTAAATTAAAGTAGTGCATCGAAAGGCCACCAATTATATTTATGCATGGCGAACAACAACAACAACAAATTTTATTGAAAATTGGAAAATAACTATAAGCTATTTGCGGGTGGGAAAGTAATGTAATTAGTTATTTTCCAATTTTCAATAAAATTTGTTGTTGTTGTTGTTGTTGTTGTTGAACTCTTCCTCGTTAGATAAAAGTCTTGGGAACGACGTTGATAAGGAAGGTTGTTGCCGTTACAAAGTGGTTTCTCATGTTTTATAGTAATGACGCTGTTTACTGGGCATAACGACGAGTGAATAGCCTCCAAGGCCAGATGAGAGAGCTTGCTCACAGGCTAATTGACATATCGAATGGGTGTTAAAGGACGTCAAGAACAAACTTTTTCTGCTTTGTGTTTTCACTTTTTGTCAAGTTTAACACAAGGCGCTACGGAGTCTTCAGCTCCTGGGAGGTACCAGCCCTCCCCCTTCCCCTAAAGTAAGCTATCTAGTTACGTTCAGCACCAAAGGGTGTGGTTTTTTTTTCATCCTTGCTGGTTTGAAATTGGGTACTATATACTTTAACCATTTTGGATGCAAAACAGTGTAAGGTTATTGTGATCACTGGAAACAGGGTCTGAAATTGATTATGTGTTTCTCCTTTGTAGTTTTGTACTTTTGAGAACAAATTTTCAGGTCTCAAATAAGAAGGGCATTTTACTGACACTGACATATTTTGTCCTGAAGTGGGGTCAGGGTTTAGAAGACAAGCCAACTCCCACAGGATTGGTTTGGAACACCAACATGGCCGCCGTGACGTCATGTGAAAACGCTCTATAGGCCATTTGCACGATGACATCATTTTACTACTAAGACCAGAATCCTTCAGGGTTTTGCTTTCTTGTGCAAATTAGGGCTATAATTATTTAGACCTCACTGGGATTACACGATTTAAATATCAAAGGCAAAACGAAAAGGATTCTGGTCGTAGTAGTAAAATGACGCCATCGTGCAAATGACCTGTGCCAGAAATAGTATGGAGTTAATGACGTTTTTCTTTTTTTTTTTTTTTTCTTTTTTTTTTTTTTTTTTTTGGAAACAAAAGTTGTAATGTTCTTAATATTGAAACCAGACAGTTTCCCTTTCAAGAATTCTTGTTCCCTTCCGTCTAACATAAAACGTGCCTAAAGTTTAAAATTTCCATCTATATATAGTCAGAACAAGATATTTTTGTTCAACTTTAGTGTTCTTTTCCTTTTCATCTTGTTTCGTTTTCTAACCAGCCTTATTCTTTCTCAGTCTGACGTAATAAACCTGAAGTTTAAATTTCCCATTTAACTATATAGCTAAATAATAAAGTCATCGACTAAAACATCTACGTCAGTCCAACCTGTTGGCTTTCAGTTTTCATAGTTTTGTTTCATTTCCTAACCTTACCGTCATTCGCTGTTATTTTCAAAGATTTCCCATTTAACTATATAGCTAAATAATAAAGTCATCGACTAAAACATCTACGTCAGTCCAACCTGTTGGCTTTCAGTTTTCATAGTTTTGTTTCATTTCCTAACCTTACCGTCATTCGCTGTTATTTTCAAAGATTTTTAGTTTCGAACAATTAACCCTCTCCTTGAGTTTATAATACTTTCAGGCGAACAAAAATGCTAACGCTAATAAAAGTCTCACATTTATCATTCTCTCTTGTACGCAATTATGACGTCTAAGAAAATATGAGAACTTATCACTAATTCATTGGCTCATTTTTATAAGCTGTGGCGACTAGCTTTGTGCATTCTCCCTGTTTTGCATCAGTGCTTACTCCCTCGTAGTTCCATCCAGTTTTCAACACTTAATAGCCTGCTCAGCCGGCGGATTACGTTTTTGCGCGTGTGAGAGTTAAAGCCGCGAAAAGCGAGCACCATATCAGAGCGTCCCCTAGTCCCCATTCTTCGCACGGCTTCGCAGCTTCTCTGCCAAAACTTTGCTCGCGCTAAGGATCCTGCGGCTACGCGGGCTAAACACTTAAAATGGAGTGAGCTCTCATGTCGGTCACCTATGAGTGACATGTTCCTGCGTGCAATCCCGTAGAAAAGAACGACCATTTCTGAATACTTTACTAAGCAGATGCGGGCGCCTTAATTTAAAGAAGCACGATTTTTTACGCTTAGCTTTGTTTTCTATCTTCTACAATTGGACACTACAAAGAAAACACTTATCCACTAGAACTCCACGTGCAGTTTTCGACATGTGTTGTGTACTGTACGCGACAAAAGGTGAAGGAACAAACAAACATTTACAAACCATAAAGTGAGGCGTACAGCAATGATCAAGTCTTGTGTGGTCGCTAATATTAGTCATTCTTGTAAGTGGCCGAGTGACCAGCTCTAGTTTGCGGACGCTTGTTGTTTCCCGTTGGACGAAAGCTTCGATGGTGTGAACATTTCCGATGGTGTGCGTTTAAGGAAAATATTTCTATTTTTCACGTCATTTATAAAACTGTTTGCTTTGAAAGCTTCAATTGTGTAGCTGTGTTAGTAGAAATACCAGGCACGATTTTTCTCACCATATACCCATAGTTTTAAGAATAAGTGACTGCTTCGATATTTTACCACAAACTTCCCACTGCAAAGAAGTAATGATAAAATAGATAAATAAACAAAAAAACATATGTATTATCACATCCTCGGCAGTACGTCATATGGGTTTGGAATTAATCGAATATTTCTCTTTTCGTGTCAAATAAGACGCTTTTCAGCACAAAACGATATTCGTCTGTTATGTTAAATCGTTTCTTTACAACTTAACAAACGATGTTAAGAACAGTTTTTTTGATATGTCTTCATAAATTTCTCTTTCCCATTACGCATAAATTGAGGACCCTTTTCATCTGTCCAATTTTGACAAATTTAAATTTATCGATGTGCGTCATAGGCTCGTAATACAAAAATTAATCGCAAAGGGGCTTTTCTAGTATTATTTATCGTCGCTATTTGACCGTTCGTTTTCGATCATTATCAGTTTACTGGAAGGATTTAACTCAACCAGCATCTCAAAAATCGAGATATTTGAAAATCGAAGTCTTTTATTTTGGTAAGTAAAATCCTTTTATTATTTTTATGGCACATCATGCATTATCTTCGGTGCGGATTCTCTTTATCTTTATTCCATTATTTGCGGGGAAAAGCTATTTTTTTACATTAGCCCCCACATAGTGCTTTTTTCCTCCGAAAATATCGTAAATAGCCCATTGTTGTTGCACGTTAGTGTTTGGAGATGAAAGAAACTAAATCGGGTTGATTTGCTCTGCTTTTTCAAGGTTGATAGCGCGGTTTTAGGTCAGCGAAATGTAGACGAGCGAGCGCGCGACCGTATTGCTGCAATCACCGCAATTGCGACCAAACATCAGAAAGACCTAGCTGCAGTTTATAGCTCCAGTGGTGCGAACGAACGAATGTGTTTGCAATCATTTATATTTTAAAGCATAAAGCATATGCATGTCGATGAATGCAGGTCAGAGAACATGATATATCTGAATTTTCATCGGCGTTTGAGGTACACACATACATTGCAAAAAATCCTTGAGTTAATACACTCACAGTTTTGAATGTGAAAGCCAGCGACGAGTGATCATCATCGCGGTTTTCCCTAAAATTAAAAATCTCGCTAAAGTTTACGCAACACCGCCCAGTTTTACGCTACATTGCGACACCGTGTTATCAATTTTACACTGTTAAATATTTATCAAACGTCAGAAATCAATTTCCCCATCGAGGGCAAAACTCCAATTTGTTTTTATCGTTTTCATTCGGCATACCAACCGCTTCTTATAAGCTTTAGCAATACACTGATAAATTAGAGTTCAGAGAAAATTTAGGGGAAAAAATACGATTTAAATTCCATTTTATATACATAACGATGTCGTCTCTTTTGATGCAAATGTCGAAATATTAGATTTTTAAAAAGGCGAATACTAGAAAGAAGTAAATTGATATGTTAAAATATTTAAAAACGAACTTTTATCAGCTGGCATTAAAAAAGGTTCAGTGGGTGAATTAGCAGGACAATGGAGAAGATATCATAAATTTGCAGGCAGGTGGCCTAGCTAATTTTTTTTGGAAAAGACCCAAGACAAGACTCAAAATTTCGGCATTCTGTATAAAATCGTGAGAAACGAAAAGTACCATGTTGAAACTCTCCTCTAGGGGTTTCGTTTAAATGGTCACACCGTAGGATTTCATCCACAGACTCAAAAGTTAGGACTACGCATGCGCACAAGGTGAAACATTATCATGAGAACTAGTGCAGTTAAGAGGTTTCATGTTTGATTTTGTCAACACTAAAAAGTAGGCTGAATAATATGACGATGACGTTTTCACAATTCCCTTCGACGTTTTCTATCGCACTCTTCCTGATTCTCAGATTCGCCATTTTCCTCGACCGGATTCCCAGGGGAAGCTAATCGTGACGAAATATTCAGGGGCAAATTCGTTTCATGCAGAGTTTACAAGAAGAATGGCGGAGCTGGGGCTCGGGCCCGGGAGCTAAAGGCTCGGTGTTCGGGGTTTGAGGGCTCGGCGCTGGGCTCCGAGTTCGCGCCGACCCTGTACATGTCTTCAGAAGATCTGGATCGTGATTCGGGAATGGGGCTCGACTCGGAGCTGAATCTCCGAGAATGTTTCGCGTCATCCCTGTTTTCTGAAGTCTTAATTAAAAACAGGCTTTCCTTCATAGTGAATTAAGCCCATGAATATTATGTCATGGCCATGACCAAACAGGAGTGTAAAGGCCATCGCCAGAGAATTGCCAGAACGTCTTTACCATGGCGTCTTCCCACCGTTTTGCATAATCAAACGAGTATTTGTTTGAATCTATGACAAGCAGCATGTCAGGAAACCTTGTTTAATTAGAATCAAGCAAATTG